ATTGAATAGAATACAAATTGAACAAGGATTCCAAATATATTTAAACATTTTTTTTAGCTCCTATAGTTTAGGCTGCTGAGGGGGAGGGGGCTATCCATGTGCAACACCCGGTATGTCTCGGAAACGTGATAAGTTTTACATCATTGGTTTGAAAAACCATTGAATAAATTTTTAGAAAGTAAATGCGAAAATTGGAGACTTTCCTAAGTGCAGAATGTGATCATGCCCCTGATAAATCGTGGTCCTGACCGGGATCTCTTATGGGATTCTCCTTCGTTCTGAGCAACAAATCTTCCATAACCTCTGACTCTTCGTATGGACCACAATTTTAAGCATGAATAATTCTCAAATATTTCACTCTCCTTTAGAACTTAGTTGGAATGGAAACATTTGTTTGTCGGAACTGAATTCGGTCATAGTGGCTCACAGGCGTGAAAACAAACATGGAAACTTGCTGACAGGCAAGAAGACGAACAAATGCTCAACATATATTTATGCTATTTATGTTCAGCCTTTTCTTGTATGGAAATCATTGAGTATACAGAACCTTGTGATGTCATATAGAATCAAGATGGGTTATGGGTGAGCTGTGATGCGTTCAACGTGTTTTGAACAAGTGACGTGTCTCGATGAAGAAAATGTCCAGCTGCACACAGAAAGATTGGTGCATCAAAACTATGAACAAAACTATATATTATTTGCAAAGAGAAGTGCGTCAAAATGGATTTTGATTTGTCCTGATGAAACTTGCCCGGGTAACCCAAAGGCATGATTTGGTTGGATTTTTACGTCTGTCTCTCACATCGTCCGTGGAGAGTGTCGAGTCGTCTCTCAGGGTAATACGTTCACTGTAGCTTCTCTATAAAGAGATAAAGGGATTTAAAGGGGCATAAACCCACATCCATGTGTTCAAGGATCGCCCTTCTAGCCTAGGTGCTGCTCCTATATGGTGCACTCTACTGATTGTTGTAGTGATGGTAGTTGATTGCCTTGTCATCCTGGATTCAAGCCGGGACATGGGACCAGAAAGGGAGCCACGAAGCGTAGATACTACCAGCGTCTACTGGGTGCATTACAAACGCATCCATCAGAGGCATCTCACGGGCATCAACAATTTGGATGCGGCAGAAATGTAAACCTTAGAAGACGATTCCGATCCTGAATTCCGTAATCAATTTGATGCATTGAGCATTCTCTATGTGGAAGTGCAAGTTTTGAAATTAGAGCTCTACTCGCAGCAGCGGAATTTCGCCATTTTCTATTATGGGATCACCACAGGGTGGAAAGGAGTGTCAAAGCCGTGATACTATCGTTCCTCCTTCTGAACATGGGGATCATTGGCGATCGATGAAGGTACACAGGGTAACGTCACATTTCATCCAATCTATATATAGCTCAAGGGATAGAAGTAGGAAAGTGGAAGTGATGAGTTACAGGTACTTGTTCCTTGCTTCGACCATGAAATGGGAAGTTAGGTACCTCGTACATTTCTCGTAGGCTTCTCAGGAATACTTTTAATTTTCAGCAAAGAAATTCACACTACTGCTTTTACAGTTAATTGTCTTTTTCGGACAAAACTGTGTTTTCTCAATTTTGACATTTTTCATAACTAATGAGAACTTAGCTCGCCTCGGCTCTACAAGCCAGCTCGTAGTTCGTATTGATCCTACGTGGGTTTTGAACGTTTCGTTTGTTCAGGGAGGAGCCATATTCCTGCACAACAAGTAAAAATTGAAAGCAGCAAGACTTTGAAAAACAACTTCTGCCGAAATGGAATTGATATAAGTAAGACATAAGTAGATATAAGTAATGACATTCATTCACTCATGAGTGTGTGACTTAAATAGGGCAACTATAACGTCACATTATGTGAAATAGCTAAACTAAGTAGGGCGCAGTGTGTGCGAAGTCAAAAATTCTTCGGAGATGGCTACAACGTACAATGACTCAAGAAGTACAGTGAACTTTGCCACCTCAACATGCAATCCGTAATCTGTAGACCTCTTCGATTTTCATTTGGTAACTTTCTCATAGTTCTCTATAATATCTCCCTTTTTTGAAGGTCTCAAGCGACAGGGCCAATGGAGCTCGGTTTCTTTGAGTTCTCGCCAAGTCATAAATATCTGATCTCGGATGTCATTCAGTCTGAGAGAGGCTGTCAGGGTTGTCGGATAGCCAGATCTCATTCGGATGGAAGTCGGGTTCATGTTTTAGTACGTAAGCCGAGAGGAGGAAGGCATCTGAGTCAGCAACTCTCCCCACTGTTCATCATCCCCTCCTGGCAAGTTTCAGCATAAGGTTGTTTCGTGGACTGATACCAGCCCGTGCTTCATCCAAGATGAAGCACGGGCATAATTAATAATTACTGGGCACGGGTAATTGGTATTGATGAGATCTCGTCAATGCCAATTACCATCACCCTTTCTATATAAAAATCAATACGATTTTGAGGGGACGAGACTTTTACGGATGCGCATGAAGTTAGCTCAATGCCGCGTGCCTTCGTCTCAGCACGATGACTTGATTTGGTCCCATATTTTGTGCTGAGCTCAAAATGTGATGACGATTACTCGGCGACTCTGTCATCTCATGAGCCCCCTGAGACGCTGAAAAGCAATAATGCAGCTTCCGTTCCCCTACAAAATCAAAGGAGATTGGTGAGATGGGCAAGCAATATCTGAAAAGAGAAGTCCTGCAGTAGATACTGCCATTAACCCCTACGAAGATAGAGATGGAGAACCTCTCTTTAACGGTTTTGAAAAAGACTGTTACTTTGGTGCTGAATGCGCCAGAGCAATGAGCTCATCATAACTTACCTGAAATAAATGATAAGCCAGATGATACTGTCTACTTCCCATTTACCTTGACACCTAAACCAACTTCGGAGCTCATCGAGGAGCTGAAATAGGATTTGGCAGCCTTCATTTGCATACAGATCAAACCAGAGGAAGGACAAGCAATATCTGAAGTGAGGACTGCACTGCGGAAATGTTAATCACCCCATCAAAATGATGATGAAAACCTGGTAATGGCCGTTGCTTTGCCGCCGAACATGTCAGAACGTTTAGTTCGTCATGACGTCTTCGCTGAGACTACATGTTCATGAGTAACATTTATCTCTTTTTTGAGCTCAGGGCAACGAATGGGACAGATTTTTCCAAGATCTGGATTGATCGCTTAGATAAAGGACTCAACCATAAGCAGGCAGCGTATTGCGCTATGTGGGCCTTCCACGTACTTAGGTGACAGAAGGAGGTAAAGGGAGGGGGACCATGGACTGCGGATATCATCTTTCCAGTGGCCCCTTTTCTTTCCTCTCTTTCTCGCTCCCCTCTTTCCTCCTTTTATATAGGTGTTCGGACTGTTGGCTTTCCGCCTTTCATTTATCTTCGTCCTATCCCCTCTCTTTCCCTTTCTCTCTGTCCTCTTGTGTATGGAGAGAGACCGGCTGCATCGTTCGAACAGACACTCGATATCCACCCGACTTTTCTCTCCCCTTCTTCATGTCATCATGCCTACCTTCTCCTCCTGTCTCGACTCTTCGAAAGTTTTAACATTCCCCCAAGTAACACAGTATATTGATGAAACGTTTTCGTAATGTTGCCTATGTTGCTCTATGTTGCAAGTTGCTGTACAACATTGAGAAAACATTGCTTCAATGTTTTCACTTGGAATGTTGCTGCGACACTTCTACGAATGTCATTGCAACATTAGCTATCAACATTGAGAGAATGTTGACACTCTTGACATCGACAACGTAGCGACAACATTCTGATACAACATGGACTTAGAAGTTTTAGAGAATTGTAAAGTTGTCCTCCTTGCCACGAGATGGAGACGTAAGTCTCGCTCTCTCACAGAACACACAAGTGCCCTTCTCCCTTTTCCTGGAATAGTCCCGCACAGGAATGTCTAGTACCTTGCCATATGTCTCACATTGTCTCATTATAGGAATCAATGAACACGGACACTTCATCACCTGTTATCTTCATTTTCTAGACAGATTAATGGGGTCAAGATAGAAAAAGCTCATATTCCCAAAAAGAACCCTTTCCAAGA